ATTTTGTCCGGTTTGGGGAGGAGGCAAATGTTCACTTGCAATATGTCTGCAGGTAGCTTTTCGTCCTCTAGTAAAGAGTTAAATAAATTGCTGAGGTGTGGAATCAGAAGGGGGGAGAATGTTTTATAGTATAGGCCTGAGAAGCCATCGGGCCCCGGGCATTTATTTGGTTTTAGGGTTTTGAGTGTGGTCGCGATCTCTTTTGGAGTGATTGGGGAGGATAGTATGTCGGACCCTTTGCGGGTAATGGAGGGTAGGTGGATCGAGTCTAGGTACACGTTTATGTGGTTCGTTGTGGTTTCCGGGTCGGAGCGGGTGTGTGGGCTATGGTCAAATAAGGAGGTGTAATAGTCTTGGAAGGTTTTGGCTATTCTGTCCGGGAGATCGTGGGTGGTCCCGTCTGGCGTTCGGATTTTGCCTATGCGTTTTCGGTCCGCTCTACGCCTGAGTTTTCGGGCTAGGAGGGAGTCAGCTTTGATTGATTTATCGTAGTACAGTTGTTTGGTCCATTGTAATGCTTTCGTGGAATCCCTGTCCATAAATGTCTTTATTGAGGTTTGGCATTGTAAAATTTTGGTGTTCCGTTCCAGTGTGGGGGAGATTTTGTGTTGGATCTCGAGTGTACGTAGTTCCTTGAGGGTTTGTTCAAGGTTTGCCAAGCGTTTTTTCTGTTCATGGGAGGCTATGCTGATCAGTCATCCCCTGATAACTGTTTTGTGGGCCGCCCAGAGGGTGCTTTTAGAGGTTACAGAGTCTTTGTTTAGTGTGAAGTATTCTGAAATGTCCTTGGAGATGGCGTCTCGTAGTGTTGGGTTTTGTAATATGGTGAGGTTCAGTTTTATGTGTGTGTGGCAGGGTGATTTGGAGCGAGATTTCTGCGTGGTCTGACCACGTGATAGGTCCAGTTGATGTGGTCTTAATCCTGGGGGCTACGTTAGGGGTGGTCAGGAAGAGGTCAATTTGTGAGTGTGATTGATGAGGGTGGGAAAAGAAGGTGTAGTCCCGAGCATCTGCATTCTGTAGTCTCCAGGTATCCAAGAGGTGCATACGAGATACGAAAGAATGGAAAAGTTTATCCGTTTTGGCTGTGGGGGTTTTCAGACAAGTGGGATTAAGCGGTTTGCGTCTGTCTATTGTTGGGGAGAGGGTGGCGTTGAAGTCTCCCCCTATTATTTGTAGGTGCGAGGGAAGAGAGCAAGATGGGCTTGTAGAGTTTTCCAGAACGCCGGAGAGGGCGTGTTTGGTGCGTATACCGACGTGATGGAGTATATCTGGGGTCCTATGTGTCCTGCTATCGTTACAAAACGGCCTTGTGGGTCAGCTATGGAGCAGTCTATTATCAGTGGGCATGATTTGTGGATCAGAATTGCGACGCCGTTTTGTTTCTCTGTTGGGGAGCTTGCCAGATAGTATTTATTGAAATGTCGGCTTAGGAGGGGGAATGGTTTGGACTGCGTGAAATGAGTTTCCTGGAGTAGTATAATTTGGGATTTGGTTCTGTTTGCCTATCTCATAGTTTGGTGGTGTTTTGGGGATTATTTAAGCCTTTACAATTTATGGATGTGCAGGACAGGGTAGCTGTCATTCTGGAGGTTGGCCCTTGGTCCTTTTTTGTGGCTGGGTGGTTGGGGCGGGGGTCTGTTTGGGGTCCTTTTTGTAGGTTTATGAGAGGGAGTCCCAGAATTGGGCAGTGGGCGGGGTGGGGGGGGTGGGACGAGGCGTAGGGGGTAAGAGATTGTTGGTGTATCCCTTGGGTGGGGTGAGGGGGTTGTCGTGGGAGAAGAAAGACGGAGGGGTGCATCAGTTGAGGAGCCTGGTCTTATTCCTGGGTTGCCAGGCGGTGTTGGGGCGGAATTTTCCTGGGGCGGGCTGGGGTTAGGGTCCCAATCCCGGGTGTGGGTGGAAGTGCTGTATGTCTGTCTTGTCTGTGTGGCGGGGGGGTGGGTGGTGTTGTGCCCTAGTAGGGTGGTGGTAGTGGTCCCCTCCTTCCCCCTGAGTGTGCCTTAGTGATGGTCATGTGGCTGTTGATCCAGTGAGTTCTTGGTGTAATTTTGTTTGTTTAAATGTTGGGTGGGGTGAGTTTGCGTACCTTAGTGCCGGTGTGTGTGTGAGATTGTGGCTCTTGGTGTAGGCTAGGGGTTCCCTGGGTCGTTTGATCTTAGGTCCTGGAGTTGTTCTCTGGATGATGGGTGTAGTGGTTGTTTTACTGATCCTAGTGGTGTGGTCCGTGGGTTGTGGCGTGGGTGCTTTGGAGGCTGGGGGTGGTTCGTAGGTCTGGGAGGGAGGCTGCTGGTGGGGTTTCCGTGTCGTCAAATGTACAATTGAGATGCCAAAAACATTGTCATAAATCTAGTAAGAACTATACATGCAAAACATGAACATTTAAACAGGTAGTATCTGCAACAAAGCCTCAATTGTTCCCTTAAGAGAGTGTTTGGTCTTGGGGGGCTGTTCTTCCCTTGGCCTGTCATGTACCTCGGGGAGGTACTCTTGCTTTGGTCACCTGGGTGTTTTGGGGGGGGTGTTGATAGTGAGCTCCTCTGTCTCTTGGGTGGGTTTGTGAGGCCCGCTCTCTGGGGTGCTGTTTACTTGCATGGAGGGGGTGGACTTGCGGACTGTGGTGCCCGCAATGTGAGGGGTTACTGAGGGGGGGGAGTATTCCCCCCGGGGGAGAACCCGGTCCGTCTCCAGCTAGGGAGCCCCCAGGACTCCCCCGTGGGGTGGTGGTATCCCTTTCCTGGGGGGGTTGGTGTCTAAAGGTCCATCTGGTGTGAGGGGGAGATGTGATTTATCTTAGGTGGTCTGGGGCGTCGTCCCGCTTCCCCTCCCCCCGTGAGGGTCTCCCATTTCTCCCTTTTTGGGTTGGCTAGAGCTGAGTGGGTGGATTGATGAGCTGGTGTGGCGTAGAGGTATTGCTTAAGAGTGTCTTATCCTTACAAAGAGTAAAAACATTAAACATTAACCATTGAATCTGTTCCTCTCGGCCTGGTATAACTGTCCTGCCTTCTTATTTTACCATTTTCTCGTTTATTGATAAAGCTGCCAGCGTTGTGGTGGGGTAGGGTTACCGGTGCGGGTTACATCGGTCCAGGGTGCGGGTGCCCCTGTTGGATGTAGCTTGTTAGATTTAGGTGTTGAGGGGGGTGAAGAGCTGTTAATGGACCATTATGGGGATGCCAGGTGGCTATTGCAGGTGGAGTGGCGTGGGTTTACGTACATGTCGCCACATGCCCCTATCCCCTGTCGGGCTGGCGAGGAGTCTGTGGGTGGTTGCCCCCAGGTGTGAAGGCTTATATTGGGGCCGGGGGAGGGCTGAAAAAGGGGTTGTGCTGGGCAGCATTTAATCAGCATTTACAATTGCGTAGATAATAACCATACCATATGAGATAAAAATTAAAATAGAGGTTTAACTATGTATATCACATTTTGAATTGACTACGACCTGATCAGTCACCAGGGTGATAGCCTCCGGTCTCTCAAACAGTGTCCGCAGGCAGGTATAGTACATTCAGGTAGTGTCCTGTGTGATTCCATTGGTTTGTGCGGCTGAGCGTTTTCCCTGAGGCTAGCGAGGTGTTAGAGGACCGTCTCCAGGTCTTGCATTCAAGGGTCTTCGGGCTCTGGTTGGTTCTCTCTGGTTCGCTTGTGAGAGGGAGATCCCTATGTGGGCCGCAAAGTCCGCCATGTCCGAGATTCTGTGGAGGGTGTAGGTTTGGTTGTCCTTTTGTACCATAAATTTAAAGGGATGACCCCCCATATATTTAAGATCTTGTTGTGCGAGGGCTGTGGTGAGGGGTTTGAGCTCCCTCCTTTTCCTTAGGGTTGTTGGAGCAAAATCTTGGAAAAATTGGAGTGTGTGGCCTTGGTGGGACGGTTGTTGGTCCCTTGCGGCTGCCATAAGTTGTTCTTTTATTGGGAATAGGAGCAGCTTGACGATGACATCCTTCGGGATGGAGGAATTGGGCAGGGGTAGTCTTAGCGCCCTGTGTGCCCGTTCAATCTTGAGATCTTGCGCCGAGGCTTCTGGCAGGAGTGCCTGGAAGATCCCCTGAGCGCTAGTTAATATTTTGTCTGCCGCGACGGATTCAGGTAGGCCCCTTATACGTATGTTCTGCCTGCGTGACCTATTGTTGAGGTCCTCCAGGCCATCCTCAAGTTACATTATCCGGTCTTGCATGATATATAGTTCATGATCGTGGAACTGAACTTTATCCGTGAGGCGTGCGACTTTTGCCTCGGTTGCGCTGGTGTGGGCGGTAAGGGCCTCGAGTTCCTTCCTGAACCCGGCCATCTGTTTCTCTAGTTCACTTGCAGCGTGGGCCTTAATATCCGTGGAGGTCTCGAGGAGAAGTCTCCGGAGGTTGCCTATGGTGATGGAGGCATTAGAATCGTTAGTGTGCCTGCTGTCCTCGTTGTCGGACTCTTTTTCTTGTAGGCCTTGGGACAAAGATGGCCGCCCTTGTTCTTTGGCGTGAAATATAGTAGCCACCGAGGGCGGTTCCTCTTTTTGTTTTTTGTTGCCACCCATGATGTTGTTAGGCGTGGGTGATTTGTTTTGTCACTTTTTTCTGTGGTTTTGTTCTCGTGAATGTACACTGGGAAGCCGAAGGATGCTGATGGAAAGCTCAGGGGAGAGGGAGCTCAGGGATCACACGTCCGTCTTCATCGGTGGTCAAGCTCCGCCCACCAAAAGGCACTTTTTATATCCCGTTTATGAAAATATCGATCTACAAAGGAAGGATAAATTCTTGTTAAACTGGAGGGTGGAAAAATACAGCTTTTTGTGTTTTCTTGGAGAACAACATTGAAAGTTATATTGGAGAACACATGTTCCTCCTCTAGACTTACATGTATAAACATTTGGTAGAGTTTTGTGTTTATGGCAATATATATAATAATATTATACTTCTGGTCTAGATGTAAAAATGCATAGCCCTTCTAACGGTATATTGGGCATGGGAAGGGGACCAGAAACCAGGACCCTGTGAATCTAAAAAAGAATGGATGCTGTGCAGGTATTCGGGGGACCCAGGTAAGTTGTTGCAGAGTTCTACAAGAGTTTCACCAATTACTCATTGAGGGTGCCAGGAGGGCTGCTGTAGTTATAGTATTTGGAGTGTTCATTTAATTCTAGGGCATTTTGAACCTCAAGTGAATTTGAGGAATCTAGAGGCAAGGTCATACCTGAAATTCTAATGGAAAGGGGAATGTAAGAAAATAGATACAGATAGTCAGGGAAGTAATATCGATTTAATAGCCATAATTCTTCCCAGACATATCTGTATTTTCACCCATGCATTCAAATATCTATTGATTTAAGTAAGTGCACATAATTCTGCTTTGAGAGAGACGAAAGCAAATTAGTTACATTCACACCTAAAATTTCCTCAGTGTAGGAGACCATCAATAATAATGAAGAGAAGCACAGACAGATTGTCTGGCTGCTTGATGTATTTTATTGTAATTCAGAAACTGTAACCCTCTGATATTAAATATTTGCATTAGATCAAAAAACTAGTACTGTTCAAAAAAGCTCTATATGAAAAAATATAAAAAATAATATTTGTAATGGATACATTTTATACATAAAATATTTATAAAATATTTTATGTATTTTTATTATTTTACAGTTTATGTAGCATACATAGATACTCTGTATTTTTAGCTTATTTATAATTATATACATATTGTGACGGAGCTCCTGTACTCCGACCAAGTACCTCTGCCCAGTCCACTTCCTAGCCCCTTGCAGGGACCCTGGAACGCTTCAGCCCACTCGCCGAAGCTTGACTGAGGTCCTTCTGGAGCTTTTCCACCCAACCAGGCTGTAGCTCTCCTTTCAGGCAGGTATCGTCCCCTCTGCCTTATACACTTCAACCCTGCTGAAGGTATAGTCCCCTCTGCCTCTTCCATTGCAGTCCTTCTTCCAGGCAGGTATCCACATAAGCAGCATTCATAATCGGATGCCCCTGAGGAATTCCATTTGAAGGACGAAACGCGTAGGGCCAGGAGAGAAGGACATAGTGACTTTTTATTTATTCATTTGATTGTATTTTTTCTGTTATTTGTTTTGTGGACCAAGAAGCTGCTATATAGTTACTGATCTCAGAGGATCAAGTTTCACCATACCCTGAGTCTGGACACACATCCTATCATATGCAAGCTTGAAGAATTCACTTTGTAAGTGCATTTTAGTGAAAATAAAGCTATTTAATTTTTAAAGGAATACACTATGTTTGCTTCTCTTCTTCTATTTTCCATATGGTTTATGGATTGAAAATACCACAGAAGGTTCACACCCTATAAAGAAACCTTTACGTGCCTGCTACAAGCTATTATCTGTGAGTTACTCTACATTATCTGTAATTCATCACAGATTTGTCACATCACTCCAGCTCTATCTCAGTTGCTCAGATTGTATTTGTATATATGTATAATAGAATATAAGATGAATCTTCTTACAATCTTTTCATTATATAAGGGTAATTTTACCTCTTAAATTCTCACGTGGTCTGGGGGTGCTATTGTATTTAATTTTTGGTTATATTGTATATTTCTATAAGGTATCCATATCCGCCTGTAATGAAATAGCTCTTGTCTTTAAAAAGACACCTACGGCTCGCAGGCCTAGCTCTCTTGCTTTATCCCAGGGCTAGAGGAACCCCAGGTGATGATGACCACCGTCACATATATATAAGCAGTTTATTTTTCATATATGAAAATACATGATATTCTTACCCATATGTGTGATGTATGACCAGTAAGGGCAGTAAATCAGAAATCTATCTATCTATCTATCTATCTATCTATCTATCCATCTATTGATCTATCTTCAGCTCATACGTTTAAATGTAATTGTCTTTCAAACTATTTTACTCCTGACATGTTTTTAGACAAGAGAGAAATAAGATATATATACACCCATTAGTTTTATCTGATAACCTAGACTTCCATTAACTACTGGGTCGATAAATACATTTATATAGCAATAGCAATCCACTCTTTACAGACATGAAAATGCATTTTAACATAGAAATTGCTTTATTTCCAAGTATCTAATAATCTGACTATCTCATTTCATACTATTGCACGGTATCATAGAAGAACATGAGGATGATTTAATCAAAACCTAGGGAGTAAGAGTGCAATGAGCAATCTAGTTATGCAAAGCTTCTAATGCCTATTTTTTAAGAGCATGTACCAGGAAAATAATGAAGAGCAATGCTTTCTGGATGATCAGTTTGACACTGCAGTAAATGTCACATTCTTGTGACAATACCAGAAAATCACACTTGTACCTAATTTATTTTTAATTAATGAACTTACATGCTAGAGGGAGTGGGGTACAGTGACACAAAAGGTAAGGGTAGGGTAGAAAAGTACATTGCTTGGATAGTGTCCATTGAGGGTTTTGTGTTTTGTTTTGATGACAGTTTCAGGAGAGGAACCAGGATGCGGGAAGGGAAAGTTGTTTACAGTTTAATTGATATGCTTTCCTAAAGTAGTAATTTTTCAAAGATTTTTTGAAGGAATGGAGATTGGGTGAAAGTCTAACAAAGAGGGGAAGTGCGTTTAGGAGGTATTTGGCTCTCATCTTTCGTCTTTTAAATGGATATTTTACCATTCTCCAACACGGCTACAATTTTGTGTGAGCAGAGTTAAATCCTTACACCAGAGGGGCACATATATCAATCTGTCAGCTGGGACCATATTTAGTGGCCACAGACTGACCAATGAGCCATATGCAGTGTTTAAAGTGAACTCTGCATAGAGTTTTTTTAGGTGGGGCATTTAAATCCCATGACTTGAAAATCTGATGTGAACTCTGTTAAACCGTTTCACACACCAGGGAGACATAGATATCAACTGATACCTTGGTGTCCTTGCTGTAAGCTGGGGTCATATTTAGTGGCCCCACACTGACAGATGACCTGTATGCAGTACTCAAAGTGAGTGCCACGTGTATCCTTTTGAATTCATTTAAATCACTTTGACTTAACAATCACTCTCAGCTGTGGTGATTTTAGGGCTGCAACCTGTCCAAGAGTGACCCATATTGTCTAAAAAGTTTCTGACAGGGTCTCCCTGCATGCTCTCCTGTTGATTGAGATCACTGATGAACTTTGCCAGCTGCCTGGCACCTGACAGAGCAGCTTCAGCATGAAAGAAAGATCTTGCTGTCATGCCATGACTGCTGACCCAACCAGTCCCACAGGGGCAGCCACAGCTTTATTTAAATTAACAATTTAACTCAGTCCAAATCTGCCAGCTGTTGGGTGTTCGGTACCATGAGCCTCGACAGCCAGCTCCTCACCATCAACTCCGTGCTGGCTGTCGTCTCCCCAATGTCCTTTCTTCCTCTGCGATGTCCAGGGAAACCGCCACCGCGATGCCCCTCCTCGCGCACTACACTGCGCGGGCATCGCGCCCCCCCGTCGACAGCGCCTCCTCAATTCCTGCTTGCAGGCCCATGTTAAAGGTGTCCAACCCAATGGGGGACAAGTGCACACTAGTGATGTCCCGAACGGTTCGCCGAACGGTTTGCCGCGGATGGCGAACATATGCGCTGTTCAGTCAGCCCACTATTCGTCATCATTGAGTAAACTTTGACCCTGTACCTCACAGTCAGCAGACACATTCCAGCCAATCAGCAGCAGACCCTCCCTCCCAGACCCTCCCACCTCCTGGACAGCTCACTAAGAATGCAGCTTCACAATGGATGCTGTCCAGGAGGTGGGAGGGTCTGGGAGGGAGGGTCTGCTGCTGATTGGCTGGAATGTGTCTGCTGACTGTGAGGTACAGGGTCAAAGTTTACTCAATGATGAAATAGGGGGCGGACCGAACAGCGCATATGTTCGCCATCCGTGGCGAACCGTTCGGCGAACCGTTCGGGACATCACTAGTGCACACCATCTCGCCTCATTAATGCATCATTGTCCCCTTCCAATTCAACGTGCCTTACGGTGCACGAACAGGGCCATGGTCATATTGACCTTTCGCATATAGCGTTCTGTGGCCTTACCCTTTCCCTTGGTTCGCCAAACTGGGTGGGGCACAATCTCTGACCAGACGAGAGTCAGGTCTCCGAACAACGTGACACAGCGGGCCACGTCATGCTGCATAGCGTGCACCAGGTCCACCGACCATCACCAGGTCCACCGACCGTAGCGCCTGAGCTGAATCAGCTCAGCATATGACCCGTCCCAGGACAGCCCCTGGATACCCCTCCAACGTACCGTTGCTATCTTGTATGGTAAACCGAGGTTCCGGCCATAGGGTCTACTCTCGGCCCGTCTAGCTGCCCAATACACAAAGGAGTGTCCGATTATCCAAATAAAATGCGGGGAAGAACCTACAATGAAACAACAAAAACCACAACTGCACTGTGCCGCTGGCCTAAAGCAAGTGAGGGCGCACATAGAGCTGGAACCGCCCCGACTGCCAGCGCCCCAACCGCTTGAGAGCCTCTGATGGAAGAACCAGCATACTCGCCTGAGTAGCCGCCCCAATCCGGAAGGAGTGCGTAGTATAACGTCCGGGAGACAAGCCAATACTTATCACCCCAGCCCGAAGCACTCTGGCGAATTGAAATCGGCTGAGTGATGACCCATCCCGATGCCTGAACAGCGACCCTGCTGCCATCCCACGTACCTCCAAGAACTCCCACAGCAACCTGACCAGGCAGAACTGCTGATCAGTAGCCTTAATCCGAACCGAGGGGCCCGTCCCCATCTGATCCGTCTTTGACCTCCGGATGAACAACGCAAGGTCCCCCGTAGAAACCTTGATATCCGCCATTTGCATGGCGGCTGGCGCCCTCGTACTTGGGGCCACCAACTCGCCGACCCGCAGGGCAGCAAAGAAGCCAATGGTAAACGTGTCCCGAAACAGGAGCAGTTCGTAGTTCGACACACTGTGGTAGCCGCTCCAATAGTTTGCACAGGATCTCATTGGAGATGGGACGCCGAGCGTCTGGCCTGCGATCTCTCTTCCATCCGTTCATGACCCGCGTGACGCAGAACCACTGCCACCCACACCACTGGAACAGGAACGACAAGGCCGATAACGTTCTCTCGGACACCGCTGCCGACTTACCCTCCTCTCAGAGCAACTCCAACAAAGCCAGCATAGCCGACAACCTACCTTCCTCTGAGGACACTCCCCTACCACTGCAGACATCCGTCCATCTCCGCCATACTGCAGAGTACGATCTCCACGTGGACGCAGCCAGCGACCCCCTCACCAACCGTCTCAGATTGTGGAAACCAGGTCCCAGCCGCCTGCCGGGCACGAGGTTCCAGTCTGGCCCGCCTCGGGAGCTGCCTCTCGAAACCAGTCCCACTGAAACCGAGAGAGAGAGTCAGCTATAACGTTCCACTCCCCAGGCACGTGCTGCGCAACCAACCACAAATTCCACTCTAAACTAAGCAAGACTAAGCGCCAAAACCGGAGGGGATGAAGACGAAGACCGGTTGATCACATGGACAACACTCATGTTGTCCGTGTGCACCACCACCTTCCAGCTTGCCAGTTCTGAACCCCATAGTTCCACCGTCACGACAATGGGAAAGAGCTCCAGGAACGTTAGGTTACCTCCCAATTCGGTCTCCAACCAGTGGCGGGGCCAGGCCTCCGCGCACCATCGTCCTTGAAAGTAGGCCCCAAAGCCCACTGCCCCGGCCGCGTCGGTGTACAACTCTAAATCCATGTTGGACACCGCTGGGCGCAGCCAGCAAGATTGACCGTTGTACCTACACAAGAATGAGCTCCAAACTTGCAGATCCTCTCGATGTCTGTGGGTGATCCGAATGAAGTGAAACGGCTGTTTGACTCCGACCGTCGCTAATGAAAGGCGCCGGCAAAAAGCCCTGCCCATCGGTAGCACCCGACAGGCAAAGTTCAGATGCCCTAGCAATGCCTGTAACTGCCGGAGCTGTACCTTTTTCGCTCCTTTCACCCCCGCGTCCAACCAGAACGCACCCCCACATGCCTACTCTGATCCCAGGACTGGGAAGGGAGCTCGCTAGCAGCTGGGCCTGGGAGCCTCTCTAAACCTGCCCTAAGCAACCCCAGCACCTCTTCCCCCTCCCACCCCTGTCTCCCGCCAGTGCATCCCAAGCGCTGGCGCAACACTCACCTGTGGCTGCCTGAGGATGCCTCCTCCTCCGATCCAGATTGCCCGACTGCAATCTTCTGCTGCGTCCACTGCTGGCGGCCGGCTCCAGCACCAGCGTAATCACGGTGGAACGCAAGGTGGAACGCAAGGTCTATGACGGCTGCGCTCTCCTGCGCGATGCCGTCACGTACGCGCCTTGCGTCCTGACGTCTTCATCCGGCGTGCGCACGCTGCGTGGCGTGCGCGCTGATGTCACGTCCGGTTGGGCCGGAAGAGAAGTGCGTGGGCTGTGCGATCTTCCGGCCTCACCTCCGCCATTGCCGCAGCCACCATCTTGGGCCCGGACACCTTCAGCTGCCCGATTCCGTCGCCTCCTGGGGACCGATGGCCGCTCCAAGTGCACGGCCGAGCCGCCACTATGTCTCCTCTCACACTGCCGGACCGGGCTCGGGGGAAAGGCGTGACGGAGGCCTCAATCTCCTGGCCCTCCATCCGCCAGATGCCACAGGCTGACCGGACGCCTCTCCTTCCTCCTGGGCCATGCTTCTCACCCCCAACATTAATTCATCCAGGGCCCCTCAACCGTGGGCCTCGAGGTAAGCTTGCAGAAGCCTCTGCAAGTCAGCAGCTGGGGCAGCCATAATAGCGAGATGCACAGGCTCAGGGTAGATTCGCCGTTTAGGTGATCTGCCCCCCCAAATTTTTATTTTATTAATAATAATAATAATTTTCTTTTCTGAATTTTCAGGGGACAGTCAGACAGGAAAACAGTTAGGAGCCCTCAAGTGATCCTGCCGACTGGTAAGTCCCCTCCCTCTCCCTTTCCTTAAGAACCCCCAACATTAGCAACATTGTGTCTTCCCTGATCCATCCCACAATCTTGGGCAGCAGTCATGTTCCCCCTTCCTTATTATTCCAGGGGGAATCTAAAACAGACAGATGTCAGTCACAAACCACGGTCCATTGTTTAGCTTAGAAATCCCTCTGCTAACATCAGTTCTGATTTTTTGCGCTAACCATGCCCCAAAACGTGAGGGGGCAGTGAAAACTAGAAGAATTGGTATCAGTGACATCATAACGCTGGCATTTAAAGGGGCGTGTACACAGTGCGTTAGATAGACCAAAGGAGTTTCTGGAGAAATGGCAGTCTGCTGGATCGGATCGCCATGTGATTGGTGGACCGCTAAGGTAAGTAACTGCTGACACGAAGGGGGTTATTCTTAGGAGATACTCAGGAGATATAGCTAGGCAGAAATTAGTGGTTTTATTAGAGTAGCACATATCATGTTTACAAAATAAACCGCTAAATAGTTATATCTATGTAAAATAACTCTAACATTAAATCACATCATAAGTATAAAAAAAAAATTGGTTGTACAATTTGGCTCAAAATATACCATATGACGTTCCCTGTACCAAAAATTTAATTAGATTTTTTATGAGCCGTATCGGAATTTTGGAATAAGGAACCAATATAGTCATCCAGTTTGAATACCCTTAAAGGGCTTAGTAGTTTATTACATCAATTAATAACCTCTAAGTAATTGTCCTTTGCAATATACAAAATTGTTACAGAAAAGTTAAACCATAAAGAAAAAAAAACTTTTAAATGGATTATTTGTGATTAAATATTGCTCTTGCAACTACCTTTCTACTATTTTTACTTCTCCCCTTGGTGATGCAGGAGTGCTGTAACCTGACCTAAGGATACTGCTTTGTTCTATCACAGGTAGTCAGCCAGCAATATCTCTCCACTATTTGCATGTTTATCTTTGCCACAAGGCACTTGTTTCTAGTGATCACGTACATTAATAGAAGGCCCTTTGGTACCTTTTACAGAAACCAGAGAAAATGTGTGGACCTTCTGTGTTTGAAAGAGGTAATTTCTATTATTTTTCTCAATTGTAAAATCAATGCACAAAAGAAAACAGGTACATTATCTATTGCTTGTGGCACCGGCGACAAAAAATAGCATAGAACTGGAAGAATGGAAAAATACCCGGTTCTAAAAGATGAGTGACACGTTTGTGTTGTTTCGAATATCAGATGGGTTTGAAATCATTGCTTTCAAACAATGATGACATTTTTCTTTGCTTCTCAAACCTATTCTTATTCAAAGAAACAGATTATTATGTACAAGCTGGGCCAACACACATCACAGTTGTCGTTTTTGTGTGACAGAAAAATCCCCTCTGACCCATAAAGCAACATTTAATTTTCCGTGACAGTTTATTTGAAGAGAATAAAGTCTTGCAGCTAGTGATTGGCGACCCTGTGATTGGTATGGAGAGATTTAGGTTAGATTGGGCCACTTCACATTTGTCATGAGTTCTGGATTAAAGGGCAGCCAGTGCATTATTGTGTATGCATCTAAACCACCAGCTGATTTATCATGTGCCATTGTTAAATGTTTATGTATTCTTGCGTGGTTAGATAACAAATAGATAATGCATGTCCTGAATAAAGATGCGTACACCCCTCTTGGCGTTGCAACAAAATCAACACTGATACTTAGAAACATAGAATGTGACGGCAGATAAGAACCATTCGGCCCATCTAGTCTGCCCAATTTTCTAAATACTTTTCTTAGTCCCTGGCCTTATCTTATAGTTAGGATAGCCTTGGGCTTTACTGTATTAACCTCTACCACTTCAGCTGGAAGGCTGTTCCATGCATCCACTACTTTCCTTGAATTTGTTCTACAGCAATGTTTTAGATTTGTACATTCCCACACACAAGTGTTGCTGCTCTAGTAATAATGGCCAATAGTTTTCTGTTGACCTAGATTTACTGCAGCCTCCATGGTATATTAAGTGCAGGGATTGGCAACCTATAGTACGTGGGGTGCCTTTACATGTTACACAAGGTGGCCAAACTCAAATGTGCTCCTTAGGGAGATCACAGAAACTCCACTGCATGCCTTGAACAACTCTCTTACTAGTGCAAGGAACTTGTGGTCTGCACCTGCAGCAGGTGCAGACCACATGTACATCTAATTTGTAATGTGACATTTCTCAATAATTCAGTGATGCAATGGATTACCATGGAAATTATCGGAGTCTCTGGGAAACACCATACTGGAGAATAAAAATAGAAATTTGCACATCCTTCAGCAGAATGTAATGCTTAGAGAAAAGCAATGGGAGCTAGGACAGTGTACAGCGGAAGCTAAAGCGGGATATTGTGAAGGTAACACACACAGAGATGTGCATAGAGAGTAAAGGGAATGGATTCTAGTTTAATTGGAATCTAGAAGCCAGCTAAAAAAGTTAGGAGTAAAGTTTTTCAACACCAAAAATTCTTTTCTTAAGGGACACTATAGTCACCGGAACTACTACAACTTAATGTAGTTGTTTTGGAGTCTATATCCTGTCCCTGCAGTGTTTACATTGCTGCCTAGTAACACCTCTAGTGACAGTCACTCAGATGGCAACTAGATGTGCTGCACAGTGTGCACCACCTACATTCAGCATGACTCTTAATTCTACCTGTAAAAATGCATTTATTCAATGCATCTTCATGAGGGGATGCTGATTGCTGCAGCATTGTGTATTGGTGCACATTTGTAATAGCCTTCCATTGCTTTCCTAAGGGAAATCATTGGAATGGTTGAGATCAAGACTAATGATCTCAGCCATGGAGACGGGAACAGCCACAGTGAGTCCAGAATGGCGTGGGAAAAATAGGAGTGTAAAAACACCTTCCCCATGTGATTGAAAGTGTGTGTGAGGGGGGGGGAGGGGCAGTCACCTAAACAGACACACTCACCGACAGGCACACACACTTGTTTATTTGACACACACCAACAAACACACACTCACTGACAGCAGGGCCGTCTTTAGTAGCGATTGAACCCTGTGCAAGCATTTGCTTGGGCCTTCTGGGTCCTGCCCCTCACACAGCATGCAATCACGTCCTCCAACCCCTCTCCCCCCCCTCATCCTGCATGACTGGCAGGCAGCCTGACATGGACAGGGCCAGATTAAGAGCGCAGTGGGCCTGGTGCTGACAATTATGAGGGGCCTAAGTACAGAATCTTATCGACCAAAAACACTAAAACAGTCATACCTCTCAAGCGTTATGTATCTGGTGGAGATGTTGCCAGAGGGAAACTCATAGGATGCAGCTATAAGAAAACACAGATTCTCTTAAAATATACTAATCTCTCTCTAATTCATGCTTTCATCCTTCAAGTAAATCCATACCCCCTAACAGCAGTGTCCAGTGAAGCAGGAAGTCAATGGGCGGTGTAAAAGGGTGGGCCACTGACACGGATCATGTAACCAGAACTCCTGAAAGGGACGAACATGCCTAAAAAGGAGGCTGCCCAAAGAATTGGAAGGCTAGCCTGGCATGAATGCATATCAGGCTGCCTGCCAATCATGCATGCTGGCCAACAGCATCCTTCGCTCGGCATAAATGCATCTAATTATGCGCCTGCTCCATACTTTCTAAGGACTGTCCCCTAGCACTTACATGTCCACTTGTCTCCTTCTTACTAGCAGGCAGAAGCTCCTGGTATACAATGTGAGACAGAGAAAAGGTGGATGTAGTGAGTGTAGAAGAATGGGAACTTGCCCCAGTGTTAGAGAGACCAAAGTCAGCATTACCTTAACTAATTACATTCCAGCTAGTCCACACAAGTTTTTTTTTTTTTCCATATGTCCCTCTTAAGTTTCCATTCTTAAGCAAGAGTTTGTGAAGAGTAGTTAGGGTTGCCACCTTTCTTGGAAAAATTACAGGCCTTACTAATTTGCATAACTAATTATGTATGTGTGACATCACATTATATAAATCACAAGGAGTAAGAGAAAATTCTGTGAGATCACCTAAAAACTACTTACAGTTTTAATCTGCTGTATAGATGAATTGCTCCCAGTGTCTCTGTCTCCAAGTGTCCCCATGTCACCCAGTGTCTTCTAGTGTCTGTGTCTATGTTACTATGGGACACTGTGAGACATGGGAACACTAAGACACTTGAAGACACTTGGGGACACTGAGACTATGTATCACAGTGTCCCTATGTATCAGTGTCCCTATGTATCACAGTGTCTCAGTGCCCCATGTCTTCCAGTGCCCCTAGTGTCTGTGTCCCCATGTATTCCAGTGTCCCCATGTCACTAGTGGACACTGAGAGACATGGGCACACAGACACTAGGGACACTGGGAGACATGGGCACACAGACACTAGGGACATTGGGAGACATGGGAACACTCAGACACTAGGAGACATGGGGACACTGAGACACTGTCAGGGAGACATAGGGACACTGAGACACTTGAGGACATTGTGTCCCTAGTATCTCCGTGTCCCCATATCTCCCAGTGTCCCCAAGTATCTCAGTGTCCCCATGTGTATCTGTTTCCCCATGTCTCAGTGTCCCCATGTGTATCTGTGTCCCCAAGGGTCTGTATCCCCATGTCTCCCAGCATCCCCTAGTGTCTCAGCGTTCCCAGGTCTCAG